ACAAATATATAAAGTAAAAAAATATTTACTATGAAAATAACCTCAAATAGAAAAAAGAAAAAAATTCATATAAATAAAAAAATAAAATAAAATATATTTATAAAATAGATAAAAGTTTTACAAAAATTATACTAATTGTTCGTTACTCAATTTAAAACCTTTATCTCTAAAATACTTTCAAAGTATCAAGACATTTACAAAATTATTAAAAAGTTAAACATATTTTTAGAAAAATAAAGAAATACAAAATAGAGAGAAAGGAAGAGGGACTTTGCCATCCCAAAAAATCTCCTAACGCGTGGCAGGTGAAATAACATGCCACTTGCTTTGCTCAAAATAAGAAAGATTTCTCCGACGACCCTCTCTTCTTTCCAACTGTGAAACTCAATTGTGAGTTGATGGAAAAATATCGTAAACTGCGTTTTAATGATCAGAGGATTGGCAGAAATGAGGGATGAACTTCCTACACTAAATGGGTTTTATGACAAAATGCTTTAGATATGACTCCAAGGACTTCTCCAAACAAATGTAATTGAGAAAAATTAAGACGGCAAGAAAAGTAAATAATTGCCAAACTAATAAAAATCTAAATGAATTTTAAATATGCAAGTTGAGTTGAAATAGAGCTCTAAAAAGGAAATCTAAATGCAGAAAAATAAATTGAGTTAAAATAAATGAAACTGGAAACATAAAAAATCTATTGGCAGTATAAAATATAAATTAATAGAAATGGAACAGAATATGAAACTAAATATCAATATCACTTGATTAAATTAAAAAAAAAAAAACTAGGAACACAATAAAGGAAAAGAAGTAATTCGATTACAAAGAAATATCACTAAAGGTAGTGAATTTTACCATTACAAAATCAACAAAAAGGGAACTTAATTGTTTCCTCAGAGAACTGTAACTAATTTCTAGAATTTTTAAAGAAAAAGACATTAAACTAAAGTTGAAGACTAATTTAGGCTGAAACGTAGAGTTAAAACTAAACTAAAAGACTTGAAACTAAGATGAATCTGAGCATAAAAAGAAATTGTGCTATACTTGTTGTGTGAAAGGCAAGTCTATCTTACTTCGTTTCTTTTTTTCGTACTTATAACAGTAACACCCCTTGGTAGCATGCTTGGAGATCTGTGGCAACATCTTGAAAATTGACAATAGCATGAAATCTGCAACAAATCGATTAATTTGTTGGTGCTGCCGATTATGCTCCTAGAAGTTCGTAACAAGTGAACGATTTTGCCAATATTGTGGAAATAATCATTGAACCTTATCCGGGAGAGATCTATATCAACAAAATAGCTTTTCAACCAATAAAATGCCTACCAATATGGATGACTTGTGGCACAATTCTATTTGTTTCAAAATTAGGTGTAAATAGACTCTACCTTCCTTATCACTCTTTAGATTCAACTATTCAAGGTTGCAAGAAAACGATGCATTTTTGTGGGATGTGGCAAACTAGCAAATTAGGTTTTCAGTGCAAAGGGAAAATGGCTTGGACCATTAATTTGAAATGGACAATGTGTATTAAGACCATGGGCTTGAATTGTAATTAGGTTTTGCATGACCTTTTGGGATTTGTACTTTACAACTCTATTTCCAATTCCTCCTCCAACATCTTTCAATTTAGTCCTTAAACTTTTCTCTTTAGCACCTTAGTTCTTGAAACACAAAAAAATAAAAATATTAATATTAATCAATTGATTTTTCTTTCTAATTTTAAATTTTTATATTTTTTTAATCAAATATCTTATTTTTCATTATTTATCTTTTAAGAAATTTTTAATTTTTTAATTTTTATAAAAAATTTTAAAAGTAAAGAATAGTGAAAATTGAGTTATAACAATCATGACTTGTCATAATAAATTATTTAATTATTCTATCAAATTCAACTTGTTATAATATTAAAAATGAGATATATAAAAAATTAGTGTTTATTCATCTTGCCTTTTAAAAATTTTTTTAAAAAAATCACCCTAAAACTATTTCATTTCAAGAAAGCATTATAAGGAAATACCAAAAATAGACTAATTTATAAAATAGGTTATTTTGGGGTTTACTTATAGGTATTGAAACAACCTAATTTTTAGGTGATTTTCCTCATAAGTTTTAGAAAGTCAGATAAATGGACACTTCTTCCTATAGGTAGTATCACATGGAATATATTATCTTATAACTGAATTTTTTTATTTGAGAATTTACTTGTGATACTATATACATTTATTCATATAATAACATGTTATAATTATAAATTATAATTCTATGTATCATTATAAGTATGAAAATGCTATAATTACAATGCATGTGGTATTGTAAGTTTATAACATAATGTGTCATTATATAATTAGCTTTTTTTGTTCAAAAATCCATTCATGATACTATATGTATTCACTCATTTAATGTCATATAATAATTATAAACTTATAATCTTATGTGATATTATAATTATAGTGTCACCATTATAAGTATATAAATCAATATTGTTATAATACGAGGGAATAACAAGTGTAAGACTTTTATTTATAGAAAAGAAAAAGAACACTAATATAGACATTAATTCTCTAGTTCAATACACTTTACAATATATTTATTAAAAAATTATTATTTTTTAATTTAAAATTAAAAATAAAAAAAATTTAAAAATATAATCATACATGTTGATAGCATTGGAGAATTAGTTAGCTGCATCTCCATTAAATTTTAATGATTGCACCAACTAGGTGTTGATGTGTCTGAATTATTTGCAAAGAAAAAAAAAAATGAAAATGACACCTTATCTCCTCGATTGAAACAGTAGTATGCAAACTGCAGTCGCCTTTTCTCAAAAATGCAAATATTTCATATCAACTTCCATATGTAGTATTATTTTCACCAAAAAAGATTTTAATTTCTATTTGTAACGTTAAAGTATGAGTTTCTTGTTTTGCAATTACAATGGTGATTAATATTTTTTGAATAATGATACATACATCTTGTAAAATTACACACTCTGTTACACACTTATGATTTTCGTTACTTGATCAGTTACACACTAATGGTTCACAAAAAAAGGAGCTACTGTTTTGTGCACAAAATTAGAACCTACGCAGTTCCAAACAAAAAACTAATTGTTTATAATATAAATCAATGTCTCTTGAACACCCAGATAAAATTTTAGCTCAATCCAACGGTCAACTTTTGTAGATTGGACAAAATGACAAAACTGCACACTGTACCAAAATTTAGCGACTGTTCTGAGCACAAAATCAAAACTTACAAAGCTTCAAATAAAAAATTGACTATTTAAAATGTAAATCAATGTCTCTTGAACACCCAAACAAAATTTCAGCTCAATCCAATGTTGAACTTTTGTAGATTGAACAAAATGTCAAAGCTGTGCATAGTACCAAAATTGTAGAAATTTCTTTATTTTCTTTTCCCTTTTTTTGCCAATTGGCTCCACTCACATGCACTCCACTTTCTATTATATTATCCCAAAAACAGACTTGTTTTCTGTGTCTAATGGGCTGCAAAATCATGAGCTAAAATAAGGATAATTTTGTGAGAAAATGAACTCTTCCTCAAAATACTAGAGACTCAAGATTTTGATTTAGTGTTTGAACGTTTTGTCTAGCTAGAGCAGT